GCCAGCACTTGTTGTTATTTGACTTCATAGTGGCTGCCAATCTTACTGGAGTGAGATGGTATCTTAGGGTGGTTTTGATTTGCATTTCTCTGACTGCTAGAGATGGTGAGCATTTTTTCGTGTACTTGCATAACTTCCCATTCTTGAGGTTGTACATGATGTGGAGTTACACTGGTCGTGTGTTCACGTATGAACATAGGAAAGTGATGTCCGATTCATTCTACTGTCTCTACTATTCTCATCCCCCTTCCCTTCTCATCACTCCATTTGTCTAATCCAATGAACTTCTATCCCCACCCCCTCTTATTGTGTTAGCATCTGCGTATCTTCATATCAGAGGGAACAACCAGCCTTTGTTTTTTTGGGACTTGCTTATTTCACATAGCTCGATAGTCTCCCGTTCCATCCATTTACCAGCAAACACCATAATTTTATTCTTCTTTATGGCTGAGTAATATTTCATTGTAGGTGTGTGTGTGTGTCTATCTCACATTTCTTTCTCCATTCATCTGTTGAAGGGCACCTAGGTTGGTCCCATAGCTTGGTTTTTGTGAACTGAGCTGCTGTAAACATTAATGTGGCTGTGTCACTGAAATATGCTGATTTTAAGTCCTTTGGGTATATACTGAGGAGTATATAACTGAGTCAAATGGTGGTTCCATTCCAAGTTTTCTGAGGGCTCTCCATGTTGTTTTCCAGAGTGCTTGCACAAATCTGCGGTCCCAACAGCAGTGTTATGAGTGTATCTTTCCCCCCTCATCCTTGCCAACTTATTGTTACCTGTAGTCTTGATAACTGCCATATGACTGGAGTGAGAGGGAATCTCAGTGTAGTTTTAATTTGCATTTCTCTAATTGCTAAAGATGTTGAATTTTTTCATATATTTGTAGGTCATTCATATTTCTTCTTCTGTGAAGTGCATGTTCAGGTCCTTTGCCCATTTTTTGACTGGGTTATATGGTTTTTGGTAAGTTTTTTGAGTTCTTTATATATCCAGGAGATTAATGCTCTATCTGAGGTGCAGGTGGCAAAGATTTTCTCCCATTCTGCAGGCTCTCTGATTCTTGATTTTACTTCTTGCACCTTAGGAGTCTTGCGGACAGGATGGAGAGTCGGGCCCACAGTTTCTTCTAGCAGGTGCAGCATCATTTGTCKAATTCCTATGTCCTTGATTTACTTTGATTTTGTGGAGGGTGAGAGATTGAGGTTTAATCTCATTTTGCTACATGTGGATGTCCACTTTCCTCAGCACCATTTGTTGAAGAGACTATCTTTTCTCCAATTTATGTTTATGTGATTGCCCCCTTTCTGTTCCCAAAATCCTAGCCCAGTGAATGAGAGCAAGTCTGGGCAGGAACGTCCAGATACACCATCTAGAGGATACTAGATTTCTCTTATGCACACTGGGAACTAGGGCGAGTCTGTGTTACCTGTGGAAACTACTTTTTTTTCTTTTTTCTTTTTTTTGAGACAAGGTTTCACTAAGTTGCTTAAGGCCTCACTATGTTGCTGAGGCTGGCTTTGAACCTGTAATTCTCCTGCCTCAGCCTCCTGAGCTGCTGAAATTACAGGTAACATGCCACCATGCCTGGCAAAAGCTACTTTCTTGCATGTGCACAACAGGTGCTCCTTGGGATGCAGGTCAAACAAGCAAACTCAGCAAACTGATGCCAACAATGTTGCTGCTTCCGAAGCCTAACAGGTAAACCCCCCTGAGTGGGGACGGTTGCAGAACTGAGGGCACTGTGTCACTTGTCCAGCTAGCTGCCCTGGGCAGAGTGCTGTGAAGTGGCCGGGGGGAGGGGGGGGCTCTGTTTGCCAAAGCAGCACAAGGGTCAGAGGTATGCTCAGCCTGTCGCCACCACAGAACTCTCTGTGGCGCCGTCTCTGGCCTCTTTTTTTTTTTTTCTTAATCTTGTTTTAAATGATGGGAACACATAAAAATATCTAAAACTGAAGCTTCTGGAAGAACCATTTGTTCTTGCCTGTCTTGTACCTCTCCTCAAGCTTGATCTTGGCCTCCCGACGGGCCTACACTTAAAAGCAGATCTCTGAAGACATCCTTGTTGACGACAGTTTTGTCCAAGGGGATACCCACAGAGTACCTTTTGGGCATGAGGTGATTGTCATTATAAATTTTCACAAAAGACTTGATCTTTGACCTTTTGGTGATTTTTCTTCTTGCCCCTGGTAGCTGTCACTTTGTGGGGACAGCAGTCGATTCCAGCCACCAGAGCATGGCTGTAGGGGTGATCTGATGTGCCATCATCAATATCTTCACGATGACAGCTTTGCGTCCGGAGTGATCCCAGCTCCCATGCTGTCTCCAGGCACTTTCTCTGGCATGTCTACAACCTACTCCACTGCCCTGGCACACCTGGGCAAAGGGCGAGACAAGGGACGCGAGAACGTGTGGACTTTGATATCTGCTCTTGCAGAGGAGGGAGGGTGAGGGTGTGTGTGTGTGTGTGTGTGTGTGTGTGTGTGTGTGTACTGGGACCAATTCCACTGAGATACTGCTGGACAACTGTATACCTCATGAGTCAAACAAGTGACGTGTTCCTTTAACATGTGTGCATGTACTTGTAAATGATGAAAAGATTTGGAGTCTAGGCAAGCACTCCATTATTGATTACCTCCCCAACCCCCAACTATTTTTTTTAA